AAAAAAAAAAAAAAAAAAAAACCAAACAAAACCCAAAAAGACAAAGACAACAACATGAAACACAAAAAGAACATTATTTAAAAAATAAAAAACAATAAACATTACAAAACTAAATGAGGATAAAATGTGTTTTATTTTTGTGGTATCGGAACGGAACTGACGTTGAATCATCTTAATTTGTCGGTGTGGACAAGTGGACATATACATATACATATATGGTGGAGGTGGCCTGATGGTATGGGGCTGCTTCACATGGCGGAACATCGGCCTGCTGCTTAAGATCGATGGAATTATGAAGAAAGAAGACTATCTAAACGATTTTGCGACCCACCTACCAGATGGTGTGGATGAAGTGGGTATCCCGAACAAGAAGTCGTATTTGGAGTGGCCTGCACAAAGTCCAAAGACCTATATTAATGTTCTTTAGTTACCACTAAGCTCAGCTGAACTGGGAAGCCTTTGAAAATGGTTGCCTAGGAAATTGTACGAGTGGGGAAGTCCAAATAATAATATACAATCATAAAGCTGAAATTCCATAAACTTCAATATGCAAATTATTGTTTGCTTCTTATATATTTTAGAAGAAGATATGTGACGACTCCCTAATTTCGGCATTCTAAGAAGACAAGAAATAACGTTGAGGCCAGGCGCTGCATAACCGCTCGATCCATGCAAATTAATAGAGAATCATCGGCAATTTATTCGTTAGGTCTTAGTTTTTGTTCTAAGCTGTAGAATATTCAGCTTTACCCGACTCGCCATGTCCGCAGGGACGCAGATGCATCCGCCATATCTTATTCATTATTCTAGCAGTAAGAGAAACTCTTAGTACACGCCTCGGCTTACCTCCAGTAAGTTAACTGCCAAATTTTGAAGCCTGTAGCTCTAATACATTTGGATATACATATAAAGTTTTCGGTTTGCCCTAATGGGCGTTGAGATATTCGCCATATCTTTTTGGTCTACATACATATGTATATATATACCCGAGTATATAATCCATATTTCAAGTAGTATTCCATATTATTTTAGATATACAAGGACTTGCATCAAATCACTATATAGTCAGATCTAATTTGTCATGGACAATGGGCTTGGATGCATTTTCGATTGCATTCATTCGGACGGACAGCAATGAATACATATGCAAATGTGCCTATTTGAAGACACTCTGTGAAGACAAAGTTTTTATTTAAATATGGTAAGAAACTTTAATATCGTTAGGCACCCTGCAGAGACATAGCTGTGGTCAAAAACCGTAAGACCTATAAGAGCAGAGATTAATACTGCAAGGGACAGTGGTAGGGCAAAACTCAAATTTGAATATCATAAGAGATTGAATACCGTTAGATATTATAATAATATGAATATCGTAAGAGATATGCGAGGGCTCATTTGTAGATTGGATATCGCACACACTGGGAAGAAGCAAAAGATTTTCGAGGTACGTTAGCCGTTAATTTGGGATCTAAATTTATATTTAACTACTTTACACAAGATATAACTTTATAATGCATCCCAATTCCATTTCGTGATGGTCCCCATGCCATTTCACATGTCACATGTTAGGGCTTGCGGCGTTTGGACTGGCTGTGGATGTGGGTGTGGTGCGAACTGGGGTTCGGGTTGGAGCTGGAGTGGTGTCCTAGCTCGGAATTTGGAGCCTCTGCTACTGGCTTGAGGCGTCGCTTGCTGCTCGCTCGATTGGCAGTGGCGGGCTTGAGAGTGGCCGCCCCAGAGGCACACGAGCCTGCACTTGCTGGTAGAATAACGGGCGGAGACGGCGCCACAGCAGCAGCTGCCGGCGCGGTCAGCGTTGCAGATGTAGTGACGATTGCGCTGCCAGTCCTGGCCGTCTCATCGTAGCTGGTCAGCTGGCTGTGCTCCGTTTTGATATGGGCTCCAGGGGCAATCATGAGGAGATCGTTCGTGGTGGCCCGTTGCGGCGCCTCCTTGTCGAAGCGTTCACATTTGATGTGACGCAGTGCATCGGGCGCATGGCCATTGGCCATGCCATTGTCATTGTTGTTGGGCTCGTCCATGTGCGGCGCTTGCAGCTGCTGCCACTCGAGAATGCCCGTCAACAACTTGATGTACTTGATGGCCGAGCGCAGGATCTCATTCTTCGATAGCTTCTTGTCTGGCGGATGGGTGGGCACCAGCTTTCGCAGCTCCGCGAAGGCGCCTGACACGTTCTGTTGGCGCCAGCGCTCGCGCGTATTGGTGAACACCTTTCGCACGCCGCCCGCACCGACACCGCCGGACACCTGACCATTGCCAAGTCCCAGCCCAGCGCCGGCTGTGCCGCTGGAGTTGCTGTTGCTGTTGACGCCATTCGAAGGCGGAGCCAGATGCCCGTTGACGAAGACATTGTTGCCGCTGCGTGGAGAGTTGGACAGGGACCGATTTGCTGTCGAGTTAACAGAATATTGAGTTATTGAGTTATTGACTGGGGACTGGGGACTGGGACTGGGACTGGGACTGGGACTCGAACTGGGGCTAATAGGGCGTTCGCTGTCGAGCTACTTACCGTCCGCTTGGCTGCCGTTGAGCACAATGTAGTCGCGCAGATCGTCGTCGTCCTCCTCGGTGTCGTTCAGCGAGAAGTCCGATAGGTCACCGTCTCCGTCCGAGATCGACTCCGTCTTGGGCTGCACATAGGGCGTGGCATGACGTAACAGCGCCGGCGGCTGCCGTGACGTCCCATTAGCATTGCCGTTGCTCTCCTCTCGCCTGCCGTTCGCTGAGGACGAGGAGCTGGAGTGGCTGGTTGTGCTGCGCTCGTCCGCATTGTCTGCGCCGTTCGAGCTGCTCGGTAGCCAGGCCATGACCGAACTCCACAACGTGTCACACCGAAATGATGAGCAGCAACAGCCGTAGCAGATGCAGAAGAAGACAGAACCCACCCCATCGAGAGCAGACATTGAGGGGCGGCGCTTGCGAGTGGCTGCAACCCTTGGCCAAGGCATACACACACGGGCTGGGGCCAAAGCGCAGCGAGTGGGTGGCGAACAGATGTGAGCCTAAGACTTGCCTGGGCCCATTTCCGTGAGCGGAGGAGGGCGTACATTAAATATGGGCCTGGGAGCCGAGGGCGACACAAAGGGGCTCCCGTAGTCTGAGACTCCCTCAGTCCTGGATGTGGCCAACTTGACTAGCTTTTGCTTCTTGGCTGACTTCTCGGCGTCCCGTGACTGGGCCGACTGCAGCTTTGACTTGACGCGAGAAGTCGACAGCGGCCCTGGAGTCGTTAGGGCCAGCTGGGTGGCTTGCGATGGATTCATAAAAAACATTTTGTCCCGGCGCTCGTGACCCTGGAAGTTCATGCGCAGATCCACATTGTATTTGCCGTCGAACACATCGTTCGGCTTGTACAAATATGTGGTGGGCGACATGGTGGGGTCCAGGTACTCCACTTGCAGCTCCACCGGAAAGTCGGTGCTCAGCACCTCGGTGATCTCGAAAGGCGAGGCATCCGCCACATGCAGACGCAGCGGCAGCCGGGGTGACATGCGAAAGGTGACACGTTTCACATAGCGGCCCATATCCACATTATCCTCCGCCCTGATATACACGCACCACGTGGGCTCGAATACGAAGGGCCGAAAGTCATCGGCCTTCTCGGGCTTGCATCCCAGCACTAGATTCTTACAGATTACAATGCCATCGCCGGCGACGTTGTCGCCGTCGTCTGTGATCCGCTTCATCGAGGCTGCTCGGCGGTAGCTGACGCGCTGATAGCCATCCACCGGATACGAATGGAGATTTGTTACGCTCATCATAGCAATGTAGATTCGTTGCTCGAGTATGGATATAACTATAATTGATGTCGACACTAATTAACTCTGCAATTTAAGGCCAGGGAATTTTGGGAAATGTGCCACAAGGATTATGAAAATTTTCAAAATTGTTATTTACATATAACTCTGTTCTACTGTTTGTTCACTTAGCTTACCAGACAATTTTTGGCATTTAAATCCAGGCAACATGGATCTATTACTACGTCCCATCCTTAACCTTATTTAAAGAAATATCTCAAATATATAATGGATATCTATTGCTGCAATAGATATCGGACATCTTATTCTGAAAATATACATTATACTATGAAGTCTTTAGTGAAACAGATCCCTACAAGTCTCATTTGCAAGGGTATTCAATAATCGGGTTGTCAATTAATTAGCTAATTAGTTACTCGACTTTGCTACTTGTCAATTTGATCGTTATCTTTTTTACCTAGGTCAAGGATTAAGATGGCAAATGGAAAAGTTTGAAGGGTCGAGCGTGTAAATTTCAACGCTACGAACTTTTTCAATTGCATCCGCGAATATTTTCACGCCCTGGATTAAACTAATATCCGCCCAAGTGGCCCAATCTGTAGGCCTCCATCAGTTCTCTGGCCTTGCAACCCCCTATGCGAGTGAGAGAGAGAGAGAGAGAGAGAGAGAGAGAGAGAGAGATATGAAATAAAGATGGAGAGATACGCTGTTTCGACGCAGGCGCTGAAACAGAACTGGGCGGAGCCAGCGAGCCAACCCCTATCCTCCAGCCTCATCTCAGCTAACGAGCCCAACAAACCAGTCACAATAGTCA